AAAGCAGCACCAGAAGGTGGAGGGAAGGGGCTGCTGTCAAAGTGGGTAGGGATGGGGGTACGGAGGTCATGACAGGTGTGTATAGGTGTGTGTGGGCCACTGCGGGACACAGGTGCTCCAAGGGGAAGATCAGGGAAAAGTCCACTTTCTAACACTTTTGTTACGTGATTTTCAATGCTGAATGGTTCAGAAAGGAACAAATGATTACTTGGACTCCTTTCTTTCTTCAAAGTGATAAATCAGTTAACCCATCAATTTATTTCTCTTCCACACACATCAGCAGACACACTCCAGCCGACACACTCGCACAGACACACGCAATCACAGGTGCACACACACAGTCACCAGGGGTGAATTTGTTCTCTTCATCCCTGGCGGTTTGCACGGGCACGCCAAGGGGAAGACAAAAGATAAACCAGAGGTAGATTCCAAGCCAGCCTGGCTCCAGACCCTCAGCTGCACTGCTGTCCTGTGACAGCTGGTGGCTTGGGTATCACTGCTGACTGCTCGGCCACCACCACGTGCCCCAAATGGCTCCAAGCGAGCCTGTCCTCGGGCAGCCAGACCCCCGGCTGGCGAGGCCTTGGCTGCCATGGTGTCTGCCTGTGTGGCCGCCACCATTCCTGCTGTGGCCACCAGTACTGCCTCTGTCCTGGCCATGATGGTGTGAGACTAGTTTGAGGGAAATGGAGAGAAAGGATCCAGAGGGTTTCGCTGAACTCAGAGAGGAACTTGACCTTGAGGTCACGTCTGCCTTGCTGGAGACAGACTGGCTGGTTAATGGTCAGCCCTTGCAGCCTGAAGGAAGGTGCCCCCAGATGCAGCAGATGGAATCACGCCCAGATTTGAACAAGAGAGGTTGCTGGTGCTGCCCAGGTCAGGAAAACAATCGGTAATCATATCTCGGCCAAAATCAGCTAAACCATTCACCCTGCCTTTTGGGAAAGAGCTTTGCCAGCGGGTCTGACAGCAGACAGGGCAAGCGGACAGGGCCAAGAATCAGCATGGGACCTGGCAGCATTTCATGGCACTTGAAAAGAACGTGGCCGCAGCTGCTCCTGCACACTAACATCGTCCGGGAAGGGTGGGCGGGGCCTGGGGGCACCCTGGGTACCACACTAGGACGTGATCAGCAGTCCCTCCTGCAGTCAACCACTATTCCCCCTGAACCTTTCTTACAGATGTCAATTGGCATGTTCCAGTAGCCAGTGCTGTCCCATCTTCCATCCCAAGCATTCACTCCTAGCAAATCAAATTAACTGTTAAAATTATTTCTACCATCAGTTATAACAGCCGTGCCCCAACCAGGGGCCTCAAGCTCACAAAGTCTGTCTCTTTCAACATCCCTTCTTCTCAGGGAAAAAAACCGACAACAGCTTTTGAATTTGGTCAGATTTTCTTTTCAGAGAAGACTCTTAATACATAGCTCCCACAAAAATCTTCTTTGACAAAGAACTGATACCCCACCAACTCAAATATTTTGGGTTAGATTGAGAGCAACAATAAAACCCTACCCAGACGATAAGGAACAAATGAATTCACTTTCTAAATACTTGCACTGTTTTATTTTCAATAAATAATGGAGTCAAGTCTAAAAAGATTTAAGGAGAGAAAATCTATTATTAAGAATTTTGATACTTAAAATTTAATTTATAATGGGAAGCATATAGGAAGACATTTTCATACATAAAATGTTTCAAAAGTTAAGTACTCTTCCTGGAAAAAAATCCAAGCATGCTAAAAATGCTTAGCAAGACAGTAATAAAAAGAAACTTTCTTATCATGAAAAAAGTATCTACAAAAATACATATGGCAAATGTCACACACTTAATATTGAAGGCATTCCCTTTAAAATTAAGAATGAGGCAAGGGTGCCATCCATCACTACTTCTATCCCAACTACTATCATATGTCTTACCCAGTGCAGTAAGACAAGAAAAAGAAAAAAAGCTACAAAGATTGAAAAAGAAGAAACAAACAAAACAGTCACTATTTGCAGATGATATAATTTTTTGTGTGGACAATCTAAAAGAATTTACAGGTAAATTATTTGAATGGATAAAGGAGCTTAGCAAATTTGCAGATTACAAGACCATACAACAAGCACATTTCCATAAACCATATAGCAGCAATCAGTAAGAAAATGCTTACAACAGTAATAAAAACATAAAGAACTTTGGATCATGTGCTGTGCTTAGTCGCTCAGTTGTGTCTGACTCTTTGAGATTCCATGGACTGCAGCTGCCAGGCTCCTCTGTCCATGGGGATTCTCAGGCAAGAATATTGGAGTGGATTGCCATGCCCTCCTCCAGGGGATCTCCCCAACCCAGTGATCGAACCCAGGTCTCCGGCATTGCACGGGGATTCGTTATCAACTGAGCTACCAGGGAAGCCCAAGAATACTGGAGTAGGTAGCCTATCCCTTCTCCAGGGGGATCTTCCTGACCCAGGTATTGAACTGGGGTCTCCTGCATTGCAGGTAGATTCTTTACCAGCTGAGCAGGGAAGCCCACTTTGGATCATATGAAAATAACACAAGCCATTGATGGAGAAAATAATAAACCTTTATTGAGCTATTTAAAGAAACCCACATAAATCAAGATCTATAGAGTTGACCCTTGAACAATACTGATTGGAACTGCATGGACCCACTTATATGCATATTTTTTCAATAGTAAACACTATGGTACTACCTGATCCATGCTTGGTTGACCAGCATGCTTGGTTGAATCCACTTTCTTCATAAAGGAAGTGAAAAGACAAGCCTCAAAATAGAAGAAGACATAGGAAGGAAGCAAAACAAACCATGTTTGCATCCAGAACATATAAATGAACACTGGGAGTTAGTAAGAGATGATATCCTGCCCAAAATGGACAAATGTCATAGACAAGCATTTCCTAGAAACTACCACAAATGGTCACACAAACAAATGAAAACCACTAAACTGCATTAGAAACCAGGGACAAGAACATTACAACGCGGGTCAGACAGCTTCCAACACCACCAGGAGGTCCAAATGTTCAAGTTGAATGGTGCGGGGGCCTGCCAGGGTTGTGGAGGGCTTTCACAGCTGGCTGAGCGAGTGGAACAGACACCACTACCTTGGGCAACTCCTGGCATCACCTAGTACACCTGAGAGAAATTCCTGCAAAAAGGTGTGCCCATGACACCAACCACACCAAACTAGAACCATTTGAACATCCATCAACCTGAAAATGGACAGATGCACTTCAAGACGACTTTGTTATCCTGGGAATATCACACAGTAGGGAAAACACACGAACTCCAGCCACACATATGGCATGGACAGGCTCGCAAACAAGAGCCCCAAATGGAGCGCTGACTTTCTTTGGCAGCCACAGAATTGATTCAAAACAGGTAAAACGGATTACATCATTTAGGAAACCACAGATACGTGGTACATCTTTAAAACAAGGCTTGGCCTGCTGCCTGTTTCAGTACGCAGGTTTACGGGGACACAGCCGTGTTCACTGGTTTATGGACAGTCCGTGGCGGATTTCAGGGCATGGCAGCCGACTTGAGTGCTTGGAGCAGAAGTCATGTGGCCCCTGAAGTTGAAAGTATTTACCACCCTGACCTTTATAGGGAAAACTGGCTGATCCCTGCTTTCCAAGAAAGAAAGGGAACGATGAACCCAAATCACAGGACAGTGGTGACCACCAAGAAAAGGGAGGTGGGTGTGATCAGACTGGTGCTTTGAAGTAAGGTTGCATGTGTACATGCATGCTAAATCACTCAGTCCTGTCCGATTTTTTGTGACCCTACGAACTGTAACCTGCCAGGCTCCTCTGTCCATGGGCTTCTCCAGGCAAGAATACTCCCATGCCCTCCTCCAGGGGATCTTCCCGGCCCAGGGATCGAACCCACATCTCTTACATCTCCTGCACTGGCAGGGAGGTTCTTTACCACTAGCGCCACCCGAGAAGCCTCTAAGTAAGGTTATTATCCTTTAAAGTACATACATGCTTTACATACTTTTTATTTGCTTGTTTCTATGATGTATTCTACAATTTAAAAACATTCTTGTAAGAGGGAAGAGGGAGTGCTTCTGATGTTTCAGACCCCCATGGCTACTGAGGACCCTGGAATTCTACACCTCTGTTTGTTGTCATCTGTCCCTCTGTGGACAGAGGGAAATTCTCCTAACCTTTCTAAGCAGCAGACTGAGAGTTCTACTCTAACATTCTAGCCTTCCGAGAGTTATAGGATAAGTTCTTTGAATTGAAAAGACTGGGCTCTAGACCACCCCGTCTGAGTAACCTGCCAGAGCAGAATTCAACACCTTAGGCAAATGGTCACCCTCCTCTGTTAGAGCATGTGTCCTGAGAAGGTGGCTGGAGTCACAGACACCCTGCCTGCGGTGGTGGGATTCCCACCAGGACCAGGCGCCTCCGCATCCTGCCTCCAAATTGACTTCTTACATTTCTGATCACTACTCTTAGTAGCCTGTGACTCAAGAGAGACTTGAATATCATCTGTGGCGTGGAAGCCATGCAGGGATACATCTGGGACCCAGCCTGCACGTGGCCACAGGGCCACATGTGGCCACACCAAGAGTCCACGCTCTTCTCCTCTGTGGGCTTCCCCATTCTCTGGCTGAAGCTGGTGGTCTCACACCCTTCACTGTTGAGAAGCTCTAGCTTCTCCCAGGGTTTCTCTGGTGGCTTAGATGGTAAAGAATCCGTCTGCAATGCGGGAGACCTGGGTTCGATCCCTGGATTGGGAAGATCCCCTGGAGGAGGGCATGGCAACCACTCGAGTACTCTTGCCCGGAGAATCTGCAGGGACAGAGGAGCCTGCTATATGGGCTACAGTCCACAGGGTTGCAAAGAGTTAGACACGACTAAGCAGTTAAGCACAGCATAGCTCTCCCAGGGGTTCCCACCAACTGGCTGGTGCATCACAAAATACTTCATTCACAAGATACCGACTGCCTGTGTCTGTGTTTCCATTCAGGAGAGTGCAATGCCCAGCTTACCTGTAGAGATCTGGGACCAGCCCATCCTCATACCGAGCGCACAGGTTGTTGAGGGCTTGCTCGTGCTGACCAAACAAGCGGATGTAGTTGGAGGCGGGGAAAGGCACTTTGGAAAGGCACGTGATGGTTTCCACCATCCTGTACTTGTTAATGTGGATGCGGAAGTAATTCCCATTCTTCACGTTACCCGTCACTATTTCTGAACCCTAGTGGGGTGGGCATCAGAAAAACCCCATCAGAAACATGTCTGGACTGTGGCAACTTTATCACAGCAATTTATTTTTCAAATATAACAGGGTATATGTTATTGCTTGCTGCAAATCACAGTGGTAGGTATTGACCAAACTCAACTGAAGGTAAGTGCATGTCAGAAACCACACATGTGGACTTAATGACTAAAAGTTCCTTGGGATATTTCACACTGTGACTACATCACTCCACGTTTCTAAATTGGTTGCTAGGTTATGGCCAATTCTCCATTCTTCAATACCTCACTCAGCAGGTACGTGGAACTGGGTCTTTTCTCTCCTGTGAGGTGTCCTAAGACTGTTAACTTTTTTAAGTTTTCACAATACCACTTTGAGAAAAACTCCTAGTCAAAGGTGGTCAAAAGGAATGACAGTTTTTAAATTTTTACTTGAACAAAGGAAGCAAGGTAAAGGTAAATCTCTGACAGTTGGGTTTGGGGAGGTTTGACTGGTAGGGTCTGTTTCCGGGAAGAAGGTTCAAGCTCATGGGAAATAAACACACACAATGTGTGGGCTACTTGTTAGCTTATAAATTAGGAGAGGTGGAGGTTCATGTCTTTATGTCTTCTAGAAACTGACTGAAACCACCACGTGAACCCAGGTGACGAGGAAAGATGCCTCTCTGCTCCAGTCACAACTACTTTTTCTATTTCAGCCCCTGATGGCCACCGACCAAACATCTGGAGACATGCTTCTCACCGGCTCCAGCAATGAGCAGAACCTCTGTGGACAAACCAGGGTTTAGCTGGTGGTGGTTGAACCTGCACTTTGGCCCTGGACTCTGAACCCAGGACACAGTAATGTTTAGTAAATCTCTCCTGAGAGCATATTGATTTAAGCTTTTGCCCTGAACTTGAGTGTGGTATTTAGAAATCCACCACAAGGTGAACTACAAGGATCCCAAACATTTACTGAGTCCCGGAAATCCCCTGGAGACACTGTCTAAACAAGAACACATGGTTTACCTGGATTTTCAAGTAAATTGAAGCAACTGGTGGGTGTTTGGGTATCATGTGGCTAAGCTCTGAGGAGGAACCAGTCAATCATAAAGGCACAAGGTGAGTCATGACAGGTAAGTCCTGGCCCAGCCCCAAGGATATGTGTGACAGTAGGGGACAGAACAAACACAGCTTAGGAAAGAGGTGGAGGATGGCACCCCAAGTGAGGTGCACTAAGTCCATCATCATAGAGATGGATGGATACAGAGAGGAAATCTACCTCCATAGCAAAGGGCTGAAAAAAACACGCAGTGAGGTGTTATCTAACAAAACGGTGGTACATCTGCACAGTGGGACACAGTGTATCCAATAGAAATTATTGGTAAACTGTATTTCATAACAGGGAACTATATTTCCAGTACATTTTATACTGTAGAAGTACAGTATAACAATTTGTAATTTTTATAACTTGCACAGATTCATTCTATTTTCATAAAAATACATGGGATCATTTATTTGCTTTTGTGTCAACATTTTAACAAAATGTTAATGGGGGAGGGGCACTGCTAAGACTAAAGCTGCTGGTACCAAACTCAAATAGTCTTCAAAGTCTTGTGTTTATCCTTAGAGATGCACATATGGGAACATTGATCATGCTCTAGCTCTGTGTGTATTTAATTCAGAAATAGCTTTGCTATGATGAGCCAGCAAATAAAGTTGACCCCTGGAGGCCCCTTTGCAGTCAGGGGTGCCTTGGAGAAGTGCGTGAGCAGCGGGGGGAGGGGCTGCCCCCTCACCTCACAGGTAGGGTGACTGTGGTCCCGGGAGAGGGGGCACTGGCCATAGCTTGCAACAGTTTTGGTGCCAGGTTTCCCCAGGGCTCAGTAGAGAGCAGATCCCACAAGGCCTTGGACCCTCCTCTTTGTCTTTGAAACTTATTTATGATGAGTGATTACAGAAAAGCACTTGGGCATTCAAGGGCCACATCTTAAGATCCACCCACATGGCTACTAATATTCTGGGCTCAGCAAAGACTTTCACTGAATATCCCACTTTCACAATGGCTCACAAGCACCAGTATTTGGGGGCTGATGTGGGGGATATTGAGCACCTCGGAGCGAGGTCCACTGTGACTCCATGGGTGGTGTCTTGCCACGTTTCTGTGGGGTCCTGGCAGGTTGCTGGTGGAGAATGTGAGCATCATGGGCCCTCCCTCTGAGGTCATTCCATTCAGGAGTGCTAATGGTTCGTCAGCATCATTGTGGGTCTGCTTATTTGGGGGTGAGGCGAGTTGGTCATATTTTTTAAATAATTTTTGTTCCTTTATTTGACTTTTGGCTGTGCTGGGTCTTCACCGCTGCTCAGGTGTCTCTCGGTGCGGCGAGCAGGGGCCGCTCTTCATTGCAGTGCGCAGGCTTCTCATCGCGGTGGCTTCTCTTGTCACCACGCACAGGCCCTAGAGAGCAGGTTCAGTACTTGCTTACGGGCTCAGTTGCCCCCAAGGCATGTGGAAGCTTCCCAGACCAGGGATCGATCCCTTGTCCCCTGCATTGGCAGGCGGATTCTTCACCACTTGGGACATCAGAGAAGTCCTTACTTTTTTTTAATTTAAAAGTCGAATTACAATCTGCGGGTTGCCTCTGTGTGTCTCAGCCCTTAAAGAGATCAGAGAGCAGCTGCGTGGGGGAAGGAAAGGCCCAGTGATGCAGAGACAGCTCAGCTTAACTCTGGAAGTGGCCATGACTACTGTCAATGAGACTTGGCGCTGTGATCACGTAACTAGGGGGCCATCCTGGGCCTGTGGCATGGAAACAGTTTGCACTGACAAGACAAGTCACCTACAGATGGGTTTCTCAGACACAAGTTACCCTGTGGGGCTGGGCAGACTGATCTAAACTTCTTAGGTCATTTCTAGTCACAGCAGATGGGAAAATCCAGTGAAGTCCAGAACACTTTCTGCTTATCCTTAAACGAGGACTTCAGGCAGCTTCCAGCCCGGCCACCCCATGAGGGATTCTGAGGCAACAGTGATGGTTTTGCACGCTTTCCAATTCTTGGGGATGTGGTGAGTTTCTCCCTTTAAATACATGAGTTAATTGTTGGGATATTCAGGTCTTGAATTTAAAATTTTGACAGAGTAACTGGTTCTTATGTGGGTTTTTTTTTTTTTTTGTCTCCCATCTTTTCCTGAATATTATTATTCTTTTGAGCTCCTTTATGATTTTGACAAAGATTGGAACAAGCCTCTGGAATTCATGCCAAGTGGAAGACCCAGGGGTAATCAGACTCGGCATGCTAGAAACCCAGGTTTCAGGCCCCACAATGAACACACAGTTTTAAATTTAGTGGTATCCAAGGCAGGGTTTGTTGTGACAAATTTCTTTATTCCATGGAAGATAAGCCAACAAAGCATGTGGACTGGAATCTGTAGATCAGTTTGTTATGTAGACGACTTGGGGACCCCTCTCTTCCTTTTGTCGGGCTACCGAGTGAATTACTCAAGCATCTCTTACTTAAATATCCCGAGGAGAGAATGTTATGAGTCTGATGAGGTTCATCTGTACTACAATCGTTGTGAGAACAGTAATTTAGTTTCTCAAGTGAAATACTGCTCCAACGGTTCCATTCTCCACCCACTGGTGATATTTAGGCAACTGCCTGGCCATTCTGGCAACAATTTTACTTAAGCAAATTAATTCCAACCCCAAAAGATTGCCATGGAACCATCCTATATTTTTTTTTCTTGGTGAATAAAATGGGGGAAAAAATCTGTTTAGATCTTCTGTACTAATTAAAAAGGAGGCCCGCCTGGCAAAATGGTTAATTACAGTCAGGGTTCCTGCTCAAATACTTGTCACAGTACCAGCCAAAGAAGCTATTCAAGTTCTAGTCTTATTAAAACTGTCATTAACTAAAACTTCCTTTGGCGCATCTTCTGACTTTATTCCCAGAGAGAGCCGTGGCTCATAAACAAATGATATTGCATGTCAGAAATCACACACTGTCCTTGAAGAATCTGGTTCTGTCCAATATCAAGTCCAGTATTTCCTAGTTTTTGAAACTACTTTGTACCAGGTATTTATCTACAAAGACCAAAGTGTCCTTTGGTCACACTCCAAACTCATTATCCGAGTTGCATCCTGTTTACGTCATCAGTGGCAACTATACTTTTCAAAGATGGCCCCAGTGGTACCCCATCCCACATGCTCTTCTACAGTTGACCTTGACTATCTTCCCATTGAGAGATGAACACTCTGTCCTTTCTCCTTGAATCCCACTGGGCTGTGACTGCTCCAACAGAGGATGTGGGGGTAGTGACTGCTGTTTGACTTTCAAGGCTGAGTCATAAAAGGCAGTGCAGTGTCTAGCTGGCTGCTGGGGACCCTTGCACTTGGAGTCCTGAGCTTCCATGCAGGTAGTCTCACCACTCAGAGGCTGCCAGGCTGTGAGGAAGCCCAGGTGACATGGGCAGCCCAGGTGTGATGCTCTGGCCAGCAATCTCTGGGGTTGAGCTGTGCCAGCCCAGGTCAGTGACAGGTCTTCGGTCAGAGGACCCAATCACTGGGCTACCAATAGTCTACTAAGTCTTCCCAACTGAGCAGAGACAAGCTGCTCCCACTGTGTCCTGTCCAAATTCCTAACCCACAAAATCTGAGCACAGTCCAAGGGCTGCTTCATGTTGCTAAGCTTTGTTACAGAGCAATAGAGACTAGAGACCATTGACTATGGTCCTTACTTTAAGAACATTTTGCATCAGACCATGGATATGGGATGTGCCTAAAAGAATCTTGGAAAGGCCCAAGGGAAATAAGTTTTAAACACATGGCATCTGACCTTTCCTCAGCAGAACCAGGTCTCAGTACTTATCTGGAACTATGATTAACAACATCCACCACTGATGGGGCACCTGTTTTATTCCCTGAAGGGAGTGTTACTTTATATATGATCCCTAATGATCCCAGAAAAGCACAGGAGTTGATAACTTGTCCAAAGTCCATGGTAAGACAACTGGAACACTGGGATTCTGACTTCCCAAAGAGGGGCCAGAAGCCTGGGAGGTCTGGAGTCTGCTCTCCTGATGGAATTTTCCATCAGTTTCTACTACATCTCACGGGCCAGGACCTGCCATGTGGCTGACCTCATTCTCAAGGAAATCTGGGAAGTGTGCTTATTTTAAGTTAGATTGCTAACCTTCAAAAAAAAAAATTCAGGATGTGAAAATGGGAATGGAAGCAGGCAACCTCCAGTGATTGCCTCACTGATGAAAAAACGAACATGACACGCCAGGAAGGAAACCCTCGGTTGACAACAAACACCACTCTGGGACCAACTGTCAGATGATCTTACCTGGGGAGCTCACCAACTGACCAACCATCCTGTATCCTTTCTTCCTTTCTAGTTACCTGGAAGCTGGGGGGGAACTCCCCCCCGCCCCCTGCAATCCCCAAGCACACGCAGCTTCCGCTTCACCTCTACGGTCTTTCCAGTGTCATTCAGAGGAGCAGGAGCGCCAGGGGGTCCAGACAGACATCAGACCCTCAGAAATCTGCCTGTTGCCACCACAGAGGTGACATTGATAATTTTAATTATCGATGGATACATCACAGGCTACCTCAAAACTTTGTGGCTTAATGTCCTTCAGGAGGTAGTTGGATACATAAACTGGTGGTGCATCCAGACAGCAGAATATATATATATATTATACACACACACACACACACACACATATATATATAATTCAGGGCTAAGAAGAAATGGACTCTCAAGCCATGAAAAGACATGGAGGAAACTTAAACGCAAATTCTTAAGTGAAAGAAGCTGATTTGAAAAGGTGACAGACTGTATGATTCCCACTCTATGATATTCTGAAAAAGGCAAAACTATGGTTAAAAAAAAAAAAAGTCACTGGTTGCCAGGAGTTGCAGGGGATGGAGGGAGGGAAGAACAGGTGGAACAGAAGGGATTTTTTGGGTACGGACCCTGGTCTGTATAACACCACTATGGTGGACACATGTCATCATACATTTGTCCAAACCCACAGCATGTACAATACCAAGAGTGAATCACCATGTAAACTGTGGGCTTCTGGTGATGATGCACCAATGTTGGTTCATCAGTTTGTAACAAACATACCCTATGGTGGGGATACTAATAAGGGGGCAGCTATGCATGAGAGGCTCAGGGGATGTATGGGAAATCTCTGTACCCTTTTCTCGATTTTGCTGTGAACCTAAAACTGCTCTAAAAAATAAATGGCTTAAAATGACAATCAACTTTTACAACCTCAGTCTTTGGGAGTCAGAAGTTGGGACTAGCTTAGCTAGGGGATTCTGGCTCATGGTCTCCTGCAAAATTTGTGGTCAAGATATCAGCCAGGGCTGCATCACCTGAAAGTTGGACTGGGGCTGGAGGACCACTCACACAGATGGCTCCTCACATGACTAGCAAGTTGTGGAATGTACGGGGCAGGAATCCTCAATCCCTTTCCATGCGAACCCTGCCAAAGGGCCAACCGGGTGACCTGATGATATGGTAGTAGTGACCCAGGAGGGTGCAATTTGGAAGCTGTAGGATCTTTTAGGACCTGGCCTTGGAAGGCACATGCTATCATTTATGCAATATCCTGCTGGCTACACACATCAGCCCTGGTCACTGTGGGTGGGGACCATTCATGGACATGGATACCAAGGGGCAGGAATGAGTAGGGGCCATTTCAGAGGCCAGCTGGCCCATGGCTTTCTGATGCAAGAACCAATACATGACACTAAAAACTGTGAATTAAGAATTTCACCCCCTACCCCCAGAAACAAAGTGCTATATTTGAAAGTAAAATGAAATTCAGGAAAAATACTTACAAAATCAGACTGGGCCCTCTGTACCTCCAAAGGGGTTGGGATGGCAGGCTTGGAGACATGCAAGTAATGATAAGACCCAGGGAGGATGCCTCCTAGTGGAAAAGGCCAGTTTTAGACATTTTATTTCAGTTGGGTGAACAAATGGGTAGCAGGGCTTACATCTACACCACAAGACCACCAGAGACACCTGCTGTGGTGTGTGCTACTCAAACTTTCCCACCAAAGTGCCTCTGTTAGCGAGAAACACCCTGGGGTTGATAACATGTAATACAACCAATGTGAATGTGCCATAATAGCACACAATACAGACACCAATGCTCTAAGACGTCCAGGCTGACCCTGTGTATCCTGACTTCCCATAACTCATGGCTCTCTAAACCCCACCTACCAAGGCCAACCAAGACTTTGTAAACGTGGCCAAGATGTTCCCTTTCTCTGTCCTCCTCCACTGTGTAACCAACATACTAAAAACAGTAAATGTTATAAGGAAAGTCAACAAAGTCCTTGTTCAAGGCTTTAGAAAACGTGGATTATGAAATGGTTACTGTTTCTAGCTGGCCCCAGAAGCCCAAGCCAGGTCCCGCTCTGAACAGCTTCTGACATCCGGGACTCGCTGTCCTTTTCCATGGCCACTGCCCTCCCTAAGGTCTTATATAGAGTGAGGGGGCGATCATGACCTCTCGCTGGGCAGATAAACACAAAGACTGGGATGCTGGGCTTCTGCCTCTTTAGACTGATGTTCTGTCTACTGGATTAGGGTTCACAGACCCTCCCTCCAGGAGTCCATGGATGATTACGGGGGTTGGCCCATCAACTCTCTGAAAGTACATATACACAATTCTATAAATATGTGCATTTTTCTGACAGAAGGTCCATCTCCCAAATATAAGGAAATTCTGTGTTACTTAAGTGATGACCTCCTTAGGAGCCAATAAAGCAGAGGGGATTAAAGAGGACCCATTTTCCAGTTGCTAAGAGTTGTGCTTATTATTTCAGACAGCAGGCTGAAGCCTGGGTGGCTTGGAAGCTCTCTGGATCTCTCAACTTTCAGTGAGAATAAAAGTTTGGCAAGATGTCAGGACACCACCCACACACCAGTGGTGAGGAGCCTCTGGGCAAGTTATTGACCATCCCCTAGTCTCAGTGGTCTTATACATAGAGTGACCATCACAGTTCTGACATGGTAGAATCAGGCCCATCATAAACAGTTAAACATGAGAGACAGCCCCCATTCCCACGTCTTTTTGCAAAGCCACTGACGCACAGCGGAGCCTCCTAACCAAGCCTATGGGAAATGGGGCTGGCTGGTCCAGCAGATCCAACCAGCAGCTGCAGCAGTGGGATGAGGGTGGCCCCCTACACACCTTTAATCTTGGCTCCCTTGTACATGGGGATGAGTCGGTCAAGGTCAGCCGGTGGTTCAGTCACAGGCTCCAGAGTCGGATCGAAGAGCTTGAGCATTGCTGCCGCCAGCTGGAAGCCAATCTCTTTAGAATTGAAGTTGCTGTGTGTCCACTCGTTCGAGTAGTACCTATTGGAGAACTTGGTGAGGGGGCCGGCAGCTCTGATGGCTATGTCGTTGGTGTGGAAGTTGCTGTCAATCACGAGTCGGCCATCGTAGACCAGGCATGCATCATTGAAGGCTTTGAACGTTTCATAATCCACGTTCTTCTCGAGGAAGCTGAAGAACATCTACAAAGTGAACAGACGCATTATCCCTAGTTATCATTCTTCACTGTACCTTCCCAAGAGGTTGAATCATCTCCATTTTATTATTTGGGGCACACTAGAAAACCTAAATCTACTAAGAGTATGTCCTAACGGTGTGTGTATCTTTGGGATGAAGAACAAATTAAGATCACTCAATGTCACTCTTTTTTTTTAATTGCTAATCTAGATATCCAGCAGTGGATGCCGCACAGTGGAATATCTCCCACAAGAGCACACTCTTCCTGGTAATGAGGTTTATGTTCATAGACACCACTTGCCCCTCATTCCACGATACTCATCACTCCTCAGCCTCCTTCCATTTTCCTCTCTGGTGTCTGACACGCATGTCTCTCCAGGCTCCTTCTTGGGGTCACCTTGTCCACTCTTGAGCCTTCAGACTGCCCCATTCCTGGCCCTTTAAGCCCAGAAAGTCTGTCCTCGCAGGATACCCCATCTACCTCCGTACGCTCCAGGTCTGGGGTCCTGCCCTGTAACTCCTGTCCTGGGAGGTCAGGGACTGATTCAGTGAATATATACAGGGTACCTGCATGCCCCACCCCCACATTCTCTGCCCAAATTTTAATACTTTCTCACACTCATCTGGAAATCATCTTCCGTATTGATGTTAAGTCATTAAAGCATCTAGTGAAAGTGAAAGGGAAGTCGCTTAGTCGTGTCCAACTCTTTGTGACCCCTTGGACTATACAGTCCATGCAATTCTCCAGGCCAGAATACGGGAGTGGGTAGTCATTCCCTTCTCCAGGGGATCTTCCTGACCCAGAAATCAAATCAAGGTCTCCTGCATTGCAGGCGGTTTCTTTACCAGCTGAGCTACCAGGGAAGCCAGTCTAAGTTATTTGTTTTTAGGGTTTCAGTTGTTGTGGAAGAGGCTAAATTGACTCATTTTTAACTTAGTCGTTGCTATTCAGTCACTAAGTCATGTTCCACTCTTTGCAACCCCGTGGACTGCAGCATGCCAGGCTCCCCTGTCCCTCACCATCTCCCAGACTTTGCTCAAATTTATGTCTACTGAGCCAGTGATGCTATCTAACCATCTCGTCCTCTGTTGCCCCCTTCTCTTGCTCTTTCCAAGCATCAGGGTCTTTTCCAATGAGTTGGTTTTTTGCAGCAGGTGGCCAAAGTATTGGAGTTTCAGCTTCAGCATCAATCCTTCCAATGAATACTCAAGGTTAATTTCCTTTAAGATGGGCTGGTTTGATCTCCTTGCAGTCCAAGGAACTCTTAAAAGTCTCCAGCACCACAATTCAAAAGCATCAATTCTTTAGCACTCAGCTTTCTTTATGGTCCAACTCTCAAATCCATACATGACTACTAGAAAAACCATAGCTTTAACTACATGGGTGTTTGTAGGCAAAGTGATGTTTCTGCTTTTTAATACACAATCTAGGTCTGTCCTAGTTTTTCTTCCAAGGATCAAGTGTCTTCTAATTTCATGGCTGCAGTCACCATCTGCAGTGATTTTGGAGCACAAGAAAAGAAAATCTGTCACTGCTTCCATTTCCCCCCCTCCTATTTGCCATGAATCTTAGGTTTTATTTTTTTTTTAATGTTGAGTTTCAAGCTAGCTTTCTCACTCTCCTCTTTCATTCTCCTCAAGAAGCTCTTTAGTTCTTCTTTACTTTCTGCCATTAGAGTGGTATCATCTACATATCTGAGGCTATTGATATTTCTCCTGGCAATCTTGATTCCAGTTTGTGATTCACCCAGCCCACCATGTCACATGATGTATTCTGTATAGAAGTTAAATAAGCAGAGCCATTCCACACCCCTTCTCCACTCAAGAACAGTGCATGAATGAGGAGTGAGCCAGGAATGAGCCTACGACAGCCAATAATCACAGGTGACTATACACATTTAAATCAAAATTAATTAGGTACTTCCCTAGTGGTCTGGTTTCTCTGATGGCTCAGCTGGTAAAGGATCTGCCTGCAATGTGAGAGCTCCAGGTTCTATCCCTGGGTAGGAGAGATCCCCTGGAGAAGGGAATGGCAACCCACTCCAGTATTCTTGCCTAGAAAATTCCATGGACAAAGGAGCCTAGCAGGCTACAGTCCATGGGGTCACAAAGAGTCAGAGATGACTGACTGACTAACACTTTCACTTTCCCTAGTGGTCCAGTGGCTAAGACTCTGAGCTCCCATCACTGGCAGCCCCGGTTTGATCCTTGGTCAGGGAACTAGATCCTGCATGCCACAACTAAAGATCCCACAAGTTGCAAATAAGACCTGGTACAGCCAAATAAATAAATATTTTTAAAATAAATAAATCTAAATTAATTAAAAGTAAGTAAAATTTAAAATCCAGACCCTCAGTTGTGGCCTATTTCAAATGCCCAAAAGCTACAGGTGGCAGCGGCTGCCATACTGGACCGCACAAGTATGGACTATTTCTACCATCACAGGAAGTTCTACTGGACAGCACTTGACTTGAGTCCACCATCCCTGTGATATTCTTTCTTCTTCCTGAGGGAACCAGCAAGGACTTTTCCCCTTTCCCTGTCTCTGTTCACTTGGACATCTAATCCTCTCCCAATTACTCCCATTCAGGTAGCTTCTTTCTCTCTAATCTGTTATAAAATTATTTCTGCTTTTAACCTTGCTCAGTGACCACAGGAAAATATGTTTCTCTGAGTCCCTCACTCTGAATCTGTCTCTCTACTCTTTTCTTTTTTGCCTCTACTCCTTTTCCATCTATATAGAAAGACTTTTTACCCATAGAAAAATACGGAGAGATATTTGAATTGAAATTGTACATGCAAAACAGGACCATTAATGCTCAGAATTCTCCTTCAACACCTGCACAAAGTTCTTCTACATACTCAGTTTATCTCCTAGTTAAATCTACCTTTTATTAAAGTGAAAGTGAAAGTGAAGTCGCTCAGTCGTGTCTGACTCTTTGCAACCCCATGGACTGTAGCCCATCAGGCTCCTCCATCCATGGAATTTTCCAGGCAAGAATACTGGAGTGGGTTGCCATTTCCTTCTCCAGGGGAGCTTCCCAACCCAGGGACCCAACCCGGGTCTCCCGCATTGCAGGCAGAGGCTTTTACCATCTGAGCCACCAGTGAAGCTTCCACTTTTCATTAAGTGAAAGTGAAGTTGCTCAGTTGTGTCCAACTCTTTGCGACCCCATGGACTAATGTAGCCCACCAGGCTCCTCCATCCATGGGATTCTCCAGGCAAGAATACTGGAGTGGGTTGCCATTTCCTTCTCCAGGGGATCTTCCTGACCCAGGGATCGAACCCAGGTCTCCCGCATTGCAGGCAGATGCTTTAACCTCTGAGCCACCAGGTAAGGGGCACATTAAATATACTATCCCTTGTTTTCTTGGGTTTGGAAGATTACAAGCACTTCTACTGAAATCGTGTTATTTTATACCATTTTGGAGTAGGCATTCAGAACATGGTTACAATGGAGACATAGGAGTTGGTGGAATGGATCGATTGCTGGAACAGCAAATCCAGCACTGTCCCTGGGAACACAAGTTCTGAGTCACGGATCTCTCAAACCTCTCAAACACAATTCATGTGCTCCTATAAGGCCAATTGAATATTACATCTTGGCTGAAAATATGGAGTATTAGAAGAAACATCTGCTTTAAATGCCTGTATAAATAATGCCCTAAGGTTCTACCTTAAGGAACTAGGAAAAGAAAGGCACAGTAAAGCCAAAGCAAGCAGAAAAAAAGAAAATAATTGTTAAGAGCAGAAATCAATGAGAGAGAAAACTGACAGACAACAGAGACAATTAACAAACTCAAAAGCTGGTGCTTTGGGGGGAAAAAAGTCAGTACAATTGACAAACGTCTAGCTAGACAGAGAACTTTAGACAGGTCTTTGCCTCGTCTTCGTTTCTGGCGGCTGCTGCCCATTTGTCCTATTCAGGATCAGATGGCGGGTGCCATCACTCCGTCTCTACTTCTGTCAGCACACGGGCTCCTCCTCTCTGCCATCGCAGCTTTCTCTCCATATAAGGGCACACATCACCAGACTTAGGACCCACCCCAATCCAGGATGATCTTCTCTTTGCTTGACAGCAACCGCTAAGATCCTATTTCCAAGTAAGGTCACGTTCAGGTCCTGAGGCTTAGGACCATAGCTCTCCAGGGGACATAATTCAAACCATGACCCCACAACCACAGTGGAGATGTGAATATACTTGTCCCCGTCAAAGTCTTGGAGAAGGGAATGGCAACCGACTCCAGTACTCTTGCCTGGAAAACCCCATGGACAGGGCTACGGTCCACGGGGTCGCATAGAGTCGGACATGACTGAGTGACTCACTTTCACTTTTGTCAAAAGTCTCCTAGTGCCCTGACAGAGACACTACTCAAAGCTGATGATCGGAGGGATAAATACCCTTATCTCTCACCTTCTTTAGGCTTCTAATCCCCAGCCGGTACCTGTGCTATGCTAAGTCACTCAGTCATGTCTGACTCTTTGTGACCCCATGGAGCGTAGCCCGCCGGGCTCCTCTGTCCATGGGATTCTCCAGGCAAGAAGACTGGAGTGGGTTGCCGTGCCCTCCTCCATGGGATTTTCCCAATGCAGGGATAGAACCCACATCTTTTACATCTCCTGCATTGGTAGGTGGGTTCTTTACCACTAGTGCCAACTGGGAATCTCCAGCTGGTACCTACTGCTGGCCAAACACAGATGAGAGTTGGGGGGTCGGGGGGGGGGGTGGGGAGATACACAGCTGGGAGGGTACCCTGCAGAGGCCACTGCTCGTGGTGCAGAGCAGAGCAGGGAGGAGCAGGAGGCAGGACCCAAGGACAGTGGGCCACAGTCTGACTCATTACTTTAAGGGGAAGTCTGGGTAAGAAGGCATGCTGGATCAAGGTGGTTGAGAGTATCTGCAAAGTGTCTTTGCCTTGATTCTAGTTCTGACCTAACAGGAGAGTGAAGGCTGGTGGGGGCTGCTACAGACCCTGTTTTCAGTCAGATACTTGGGGAAGGTTTGCTCGTACCTGTGCTCCCTAGGCAGGGTGTGTACTCACCCCCAGAATTCCCCCAGGGTACACTTGGCACACCTCTTCCAGGATCATCATTATGGGAGGAAACTTCAGATGAGATCTTGATTTTTCCTCTCTTAAATAGGTATTGTGACATACATATGTAGTTGGTGTCACTATTCTATTAAAATACTAAGAACTTTTTATTTTTCACTGCTAGGACCAAGCTTGAGACCTAGTGGGTGTCCAGTAAATCTCTGCGGAGTGAAGGAAAGAATGAATGTTCTTGAGGAGCAGAATGCAGAATCCCCTGGGTTATCAGAACGAAATGAGAGGTGGGAGGGAAGCTCCTCTGACACGCGGTCTGCCTTGAGCTCCTCCTGTCTGGGTTCTGGGGGACGCGGGTCATGGCACCCACCTGTGAGAGCACTGGGGTGAGAAGCCCTGACTTAGGCCACCGGCCTGTACTGCCAGGTAATGGACCCCCATGAGCCCCCGCGGGCCTCCCCCAGGTGGTCTGCCCACCAGAGGCTGCTGGTATCCTTCATCCCAACCCCCGACACACCCTTGACCCCCATAACTCCAGCCCTCACGCTGACCACAGCCCCCTCCTGAGGGGTCTCCTGCTTCTCTGGCGCATCGACTGGCCCCTTCCCCTCTTCCTCCTGGCTTCCGCTGTCTCCTGAACAGGCTGTGAGCTGAGCTGTTCTAAGTCCCTGTTTCACAGGGAAAGAACCACTGTAGCCATTTCCAGAATCTTGGGAGGTCAACACGGCGTACACTTTGAGGGCCTGTTAGCCTGGGTTAGATCTTAAGCTGATTGGGAGTCACCGTGTTCTGTCTGTGAAGTGGGGGTGTTTCCTGTGACACAGCTGTTGTGAGGAGGGGACAGAATGCGCTGCAAGAGGGTAGCACGGCACCGGGACTTGCTCACAGTGGGGCTTGCTGCTGCTCAGGCACTCAGTCATGTCCGACTCTTTGCAACCCCATGGACGGCAGCACGCCAGGCTTCCCTGTTCATCACCAGCTCCCGGAGTTTGCTCAAACTCATATCCACTGAGTCGGTGATGTCATCCAACCATCTCATCCTCTGTTGTCCCCTTCTCCTCCTGCCTTCAATCCTTCCCAGCATCAGGGTCTTTTCTAATAAGTCAGCTCTTTGCATCAGGTGGCCGAAATATGGGAGCTGGCAGTCCTCAAGTCCTGACACTCCATCCACAAGCAGGAGGGGGGTCCAGTTCCCATTCCTTTGCATGTGGGCTGCCTCGGTGACCTGCCTCCAGGATTCAGAATGTGGTGGAAGGATGCCGCTTGACGTATGAGGCTAGGTCACGGAAGGAGGGATGCTGTCGCTGTCTCTATCATCTGTCTGTCTCTATCTCTGTTTCTATCTCTCTCTCTGTCTGTATCTCTGGCTCTCTGTCTGTCTGTTTCTGTCTCCATCTGTCTGTTTCTCTCTGGCTCTCTCTGTCTCTCTCCATCTCTCTTGATCCCCTCTGTCTCTGTCCCAGTGCTTTTGGAACCAGTCACCATGCTGAGGAGAAGCTCAGTCCCATGGAGGGGTCATCTATGATTGTTCTGATCAGCATCTCACCTGAGCCTGATTTGACACCAGCAGCCGGACAAGCAGGTGGACACACCTAGATGGCTCCAGCCCTACCCAGTCCCCTTTCATCCTCAGGAAAGACCTCTAGGGATTCCCGCCCGATGAGCCGGGTCCCACCCTGGGACCACGAGAGAGACTCAGGAATGACTGCTGTTGGTTTAGGTCACTCGGTTTGGGCGCCTCATTACGTAGCAACAGAAACTCTGAAAGTTTGCAGGGGCTGGAGAGGGTGCGGCAGGGAAACTGTGACTATAGCTCTCCCAAGGTGGTGAGTGAGGTTCCAGGGACCTACTTACGGAGCAGGGGAGCTGGAAGGGCTTGGTGGGCGTGGTGAAGCTGGCGGTGTGGATGGGGTCCGGGTACAGCCCGTTGTTCCACTGAGCCAGCAGTGCGTCCCGGTACACAGTCACCCCCGCGGCCTGGAGCGCATCCTCTATCGCACCCTCCACTGCGCAGTCGTTGATGCAGGTGATGATGGACGTGGGTGGATGCTGTACCAGGTGGATGCAGGAGCCCCTGACCCCCAGGTTCAAGAGGGTCTCCACAGTGGTGTATGTGTCAATTGAGTTCCCATAGATGATGACGTTCCCTAGAAAAGGGGGCAAATTGCTAAGATACATAGCTTAAAAAAAAAAAAACAACCAATAACCTTGTTAGTCAAATGCTAATAATGCTGAATTGCTCCCTCAACCCTCTTATTTTTTTTCAGCTGTGGGAAGCTAGCAGCGTTACCTAGCAACGGCAACCAAGATAATTTAGCAAAGAATGGACACACAACATCCCACAAAGTAGTCAAGTACTTTTAACACACAAGTAGGAGATTCATTTATGTTCCTATAATTTGAAAGTTGAAATTATGCTAAATGAAACGGTCAATAATAAAGCCTTTTATCTTGTTTTTATCCCCTATTTGCTATACTTATTAAGGGGGAAAAATTGGCGAAAGTTTGCAATAAATGCAAATTCTTCTTGAGTCATGAAGAGGACAATGGTTAAAAAAAATTAGTCATGTGCATGATGGTATGGATATTTCATTATTTAATTGTTGAACTGTGTTCATTTCAAGGAAACTTTTTTTTTGAGAACTAAAGACTAGAACATTCTGCCTTGCAACAGATAATTTTATAAAGATTCAAATCCTGAGTTTTACAATTTAATGTGCTAAGACCTAGCAAGAGATTGATGGGTATCCTTTTGGTGAGGAAAAATAAAATCATAAAATAATCTTGAAAGATTTCTACTGTGTGAGAGCACTTTGATGATGTAATTTATTTATATTTCTTAAAAATATTACAGAAGTAATTACATATGCTCTTCTGATACTGATATAAATTTTAAGACCAGTGATCCTATTATATGAGTGAAATGTATTATGTGCTATTCATATGCTATTTTTGACATCGAATTGGCATTATTACCTCTTCACAAAGAAAGAAACTGCTGTGGACTCACATTTCAGGCAAGCTGTAACAATTTTACCACAAAACTTTACCTCTCTTTTTCCTTCTGTTTGTGAAATGATATGAAGAGGAATTTTAAGAGACAAAATAAATGGCAAGTGTATTTACTCAATTTTGTGGAATAAATTATGCAAAAATCAAACTGAAAGGAGGTATAATGGCTTATCTTACTTGCCTAGAAGAAAAGGAACTGGAATTGCTTTCAGGCATTTTGCAGAGCTTCTAGGAAGTCCTCCCCTGCTCCCCAAGGGGGAAAGAAGCCAGGGGCAGGGCCCTTCCTCCCCGCCTTCCCTAGGACATTCTGATCTGGGGGCTCTGATCGCCTCTCCATTCAGACTTGCTAGTGTGACGTTCCTGGGTAAGCTGCATTTTCCTTGGCTGAAAGAGCCAATGTTTTGATTAAATTATTGAGGTACCCACCTGCTGCAAAATGTGACTCCTGGAGGTCTGACACAACAAAGAAGTAGCCCACCAGGAGAGCCAAAACTTGAACCTCACATTGTCCAGATTTGAGGTCCTCTGTCCCTTCTTTCAAACATGCATGTGAAAACAACATTCACTTTCCATGAAACAGATTAAGCATTTAGGCCCCATGAAACTCAGAGTTTCATTATTTTTCCAGTTTCTCCTTCATGTGGGCTTTTAGCAACTATTCTGCTTTTGCATTACACAGAAAGGCTAACAGAAGCCCCAGCAATGCCAAGCTACTGGGGTCATTAGAGGGCTGTATGTTTAGCCAAGGTTGCCCACAGACTGTAGAGAGTTGGAGAGTCTGAGGACTTCAAAAGATAATACGTTTCATAAAACCTATTTAAATTAGATGTCTACTTAATTTAAATCTATTTAAATTATATATATATATATGTGTGTGTGTGTATATATATATATATATATATACACTAACTTCTAAATAGTTATCTTTTAGTTTGTCTTTAAATGTAATTTGAAACACCTCCCCCAAACATGAGACTTTGGTTATTGTAACTGTCAGCTATTGTCACAATAATGCTGTGTAACAAGCTACCCTCAAACTCAATGCCAAAAAACAATAAGTCTGTGGTAGGTCAGCTCACAGGTCTGCAGGCTGACAAATGTTGGCTGCTATGGATCCAAGCTATGGTTGGGGTCAAGTTGGTACCACCATGCCTCTCTCAGCCTCTTTGGACCAATAGCAACCTGAGGCATATTCTCTTTTGGGAGCTGTGAAGGAGGGCAGGCATGACTGCTCAGGCACTTTCCAAGGCTCTCCTGGCAACAGCCTCTAATGTTCCCTTGACCAAAGCAAGTCAAGTGGCCAAACCCATGCCCAAGGGGGTGAAGCACACTCGGTCCACAGCACGGATGTGTATGTGTGTGTGTTCATTGAATAACATTCCAAAATCACAGTTACATTGGGCACAGGACTCTGTGTGTGCCTATGCCTAATGAGGCCTATATGATGTCATCTAAAATTTTCATCTAAACATGTTTTACTGATCATTTATTTACATTGTCCCATCCCACAAAACAGAATAGAATCCCATTATAATTTTCTACTACCTAAATAACAAGCCACAGGTCAAATCACATCCTTCCATGAATATCACAATACCCAATGTTATGAAGTTAGCCTGTTACTCTTTGCCAGTTCAGTCCTTCAGCTTTTAAGCATTCCTACTCCAGAGTGGGAGGCAGGGAGTAGATTATTCTTTCCATTATCTTTGTGCAGTTGTGACTTATTTCTGCATCATTTCCAACTTTTACTTTGCAAAAAATTTTTAGATTCAATTCCTGTTTATCTCACGAACTCTGATATATCAGGCCCAAAGGTAGGCATTTTTAATATACAAGCCCTTATTATTATTACTATCAGTGACAATAACAGAATTGTTATCAATAACATTGGCTTCAGGCAAATGCCTGTAACTTTTTCATAAGCTAAAAGTAAAAATATAAGTATGAAGACAATTTATAGGAGAAGCAAAGTCTTATATTTTGGGGAATCCCCAGGGAAAAAAACCCAGCAGATCAAGAGTTTGATTGTTAATGTATTCATTTCAGGACAAATCAATCTAGGTAAAAAATATGATTGCTTATATTTATCAGAATAATTTTACTTGCATGGATGAGGTAGAACTAAAACTTTTTAGAAACTACTTATTTCTTTTTCCTTTTTTGGCCATGCCAAATGGCATGTAAGCTCTTAGTTCCCTGACAAAGGATTGGACCTACACTCCTTGCAGTGGAAAACTAAGATTCTCAACACAGGACCACCAAGGAAGTCCTGTAACTAGGGCTCTTAAAGCCCTCCTGGGCTGGGCTGTGGCTGTGGTCATGTCTGGGCCCCAGTAGGGGATCCAGCCTCCAGCCAGGTGAGGCTTCCAAGCATCCAAGATTGTCTCTACCTGCCTTCCTTGCATCACTTACCCAGGGGTGGACTTCAGGCTCACCCTGCCCACCGTGGGGCTCCACACAGAGTCTCTCTACAACAGGTAGGACAATATGCTTCCTGGCCAGATGTATGGAAGAATGTTTAGTCTTCATCAGCTTGCAGACACAAGACTAACTAAGCATTCCTTTTGGGTCCTCTCAATGTTTACTGCAGGACACCCTCACTCTGGCCAGGTTTTCCTACTAGGTACTTCTATCTGCTGTTCACTACGAAGTTGGTACTACAAGATTGACTGAACCAGCCACAGGATGGATTGTATACTTGAGATCTGTAAGACAGAAACATGTTAGATCTGGCTACTGGGCTTCTCTTCCAGCCCACAAAATCCTACCCAGTTCTAAATGTAACCCAAACTGTGTGTGCCTCCAACACAACAGTATAGAGTAACACTCCTATTGTGTTGGTTCTCATTTAAACCCAGGACCAAGGATATTTTCCAGGGAGGTGAGCCCTTTGTATGACTACTGTGCTGCGGACTGTTGGGTGGATCTGAGGCTGACTCAGGGAGGGAAAATGGAGGGGGAACAACTGGAGAAAGAAAGGGAGGGGGCGGAGTTAAATCAATTTTATCATCTCTGGCTGACTTAGAAGCAAGAAAGGGTTTAAAAGTAGGTGCATGAGGGACTTGCCTGGAAGTTCAGTGGTTAAGACCACTCATATAGCAGGGGCGTGGGTTCTATGACTGGTAGAGGAAATCATGCTGCATGCACTCGTGTGTGCTAAGTCTCTTCAGCTGTGCCTGACTCTTTGCGACCCTGTGAACTGTAACCTGCCAGCTCCTCTGTCCACAGGATTCTCCAGGCAAGAGTAGTGGAGTGGGTTGCCAAGCCGCCCTCCAGGGGATCTTCCCGACCCAGGGATTGAACCCATGTCTTTTACACTTCCTGCACTGGCAGGCAGGTCCTTTACCACTAGCGCCACTGGGAAAGCCCTCATGCCTCATGGCATGGCCAAATAAAGAAACAAATAAATGTAGGTGAAAGAAAGCAGTTGTCGGGTGGGAGAGGGGCTGGGGGAACTAGGCCATGAATAACAGCAGTGAAAACGGCTTTGTAAGGGCGACACTGAGTCTGCCAGTGTGTCTGAGCCTGAGAGGGCCAGGCAGGGTGGCTGGGGTCCCCCTGGTGCGGAATACCCTGATGGCTGTTGGGGTGGGCTGGGAAGCAGCCCCAGGGTATGTGGTTCCCCCAGTATCTGTCATCTACAGTGGGCTTCAGAGGTCAGACAACTCCAGGTCATTAAAGATTCATCCAGCTCATGCAGTTCTACCACTTCGGTGCTGTGTAACTCACAGAGTGTTTGCAAATATTTAGAAGGAGAGGCATTCGTGTATGTTCTTTGGACGTTCCCCTGCATATATGGAAGCAGCAGAGTGGAAAAGCTTAGGATGTCCCCCTGGATATCAGTTGTATGCTAAGAGATCCACTCATTGCCTTCTTTGCAGCTCAGTTTATTTAATAGATAAGAAACAACCAGCCTTTGCACTTGATGGCTGACAGAGGAGAAATGGCAGGCAGTCTTACTTGGAAATGGTAAATGGCAACCGATGGTTAGAACAGACTGGGTTGATTTTCAAGGAAGGGTGATGGAATAGGACTGCAGCAGTTTTCATGGGAGGCTGATCTCTGTTGTCCCTTTTAGGGGATAAATTATGCATTAGGGAGATTACAGAGCTGAATCAGGAAGCAGGGTAAGGGG